ACTCCCCGAAGTGTGCAAGTCCTTTTCTTTACCGGTTGGGGTTTTCAAAAAACTTTATTAGCTAATAAAAAAAGACGCTTAAAAGCAAATTTGCGTTCACTGATCTGGCAAAGAAAAAGAAATATCCCTGTAGTCACTCTGGTTTGTTGCTTTGGACCCCGAGCATTATTTCTGGAAGACATCACAGTTGTCTCAGCTTTGCTTCTCGTATCATCTCATGAGATCCGTGTAAATATTTAGCTCGCAAACAACAACAACTTTATTTATACATTGCGCCGAGTATTTGATCCCGTCCAACCATAAGCTTATTTAAGCGCTTGTGTGCATGTCAGTTCTAAGTAGCCGCCGTGTCAATCACTGGAACGGATCACCAAAACACATCGCCGTGCTGGTTGCCCTGGGGGTCTTCACCTTTACCTTTCAACACATGGGCAACATTTTTACACATTGCAAAGGAATGAAACTGAAAATAAACAAAATTACTAAAAAGCAAATGGAAGAGAAATCAGAAGTTTGGTTTTCAATGTTAAAAGTTTATTGAACATATTCATCCAGATCGATATCTAAATAAATATTATTCAATTATAAAATCCATAGCACTGCAGGTGAACAGTGCACCCTGGAGGTGGGGGTGTTGCTCTCCAGGCTGAAGGCTTTCTTTTTGGTCAATGGAGCCTCCAGCCTGCATGTGATTTCTAGGTCAAAGCTGATATAGTGATCACATGATCAGAAACCACTCTGATTGGTTCCTGATCACCAGCGGGGACTGCCACTGGATTGAGAGCCAAAATGTCGGCTGTAGGCCTTCTTAGGGGAGGGCAAGGCTTGGTGCAGCTTAATTATTATTATTGTTATACAGGATTTATAGAGCGCCAAACAGTTTGCACAGCGCTTTACAATATAAGGAAGACATTACAATCACAATACAATTCAAGACAAGATGGTAAGGAGAGACCTGTCCCCTGAGGGCTTACAATCTAAAATATACAGGTTGTGGGTAGAAGGGGGTCAATTGAGTGATGGATGTCGATTAAAAATGGCAACTGGCTGTCTGGACTCACATGGGTGGGGAGATAGGGAAGACTTGTATACACCTATGCAAGGACTCCTATATCTACAGTTTGTGATCTGCTCCCCCAGTGATGACATGAGTGCACTGCAATGTACTGTAGGAATCATTGTTTATGTTTTCTTGGCACTCGAAACATGAGAATCAGATCCATGCTTTGTTGTTCTCAGTCGCAGTCTGCAGGCTCTCCCTGTCGTACTCTGCAAACCGAAGACAGGCTGCAGGTAGAAGAATGCAATGTTTACACTGCCCCTGGGTCTGTTGGGACAGCCTTCAAATCAATGGCATAGAAACGGCAGGAGCAAGACATTTCATTTGCATAATTGATGGGTAAACACAAACACAGGGCCGGATTTCCCACAAGGCCAACCAACGCCCGGCCTTGGGGCAGCAGGGAGTAGAGGGGCAGCGGGGGCGTGGAATTCCTACCTCCTGATGCCCTGGACATGCAGTTCCGGGTGACGGGCGGGTAGTTGTCTTCTACATTTAGCCCTGCTTTGGGTTTCGCCGAGACCACTTGTATGCAGCCTGCAGGTCTGCCATCCTCCATGGGGGTAGCCTCAGCTTTAGTACCATATCTATATGGCTCCCAGACCCGAATGGCATTCTGGTTCCCAATTTCCGAATTGCATTGGGGAGCTCCCGAATGCCATTTGGGTCTGGCAGCTTCAGCTTTAGGATTATATATATATACGGCGCCCAGATCCGAATGGCAGTCAGGAGCTCCCGAATGCAGTTCAGAAATTCGGATCCGGAATACCATTTGGGTCTAGGCTCCTCAGCTTTAGTGAACGCCGGTATGTGTTCGCTCACTTCCCGATCTACCGAGCCGACCTGTGACAGTCTCAGAAAAAAAAAATAAGGTTCATCGATGGGCTGTTTTGCAACACGAGAACCAGTCCTGGAATGTTTCAAGAAGCTTTCATAGCCCTTCTGGCCCACTGGCCCTTTAAAAACCATACGGGCTCCCATGAATTTTTGGCACGGTGGCGAAAATTGGCAGAAATCTCCCAATTTTTATCAAAACTTCAGGGAATTTGGGACAAATCAGCATTGGATGATTTTGTTATAATAGGAGTAAAAGCATTTGAAGAAACCTAGGCCATCTTCTGACAGATTTGTACAATGATGTGGTGTGTCCACCATGTATGTCATAGTGCTCAGAGGGCAGGACAACCCCTGAGCTGGCCAAGGGTGTATTAGCCCGTGCAACCCGTTGAGTACTGATTAAAATTAACTTGACTCCATCTGCTTTTCTCTCCAAATCGGAGGCACCATCTTTGTTCAAGTATCATCCAGGGTCACCTTCTATCTCCTGGATTAAGATGCCGGCTCAAAGATGGCGCAGTCATGCCAATCCTGGTGTCTATGAGATTCTTGGCTTCCTTCCTTGTGACTTGCTACACAGTTCCAATGTGGCATTCATAGACACCAGGATTGGCATGACTGCGCCATCTTTGAGCCGGCATCTTAATCCAGGAGATAGACGGTGACCCTGGATGATACTTGAACAAAGATGGTGCCGCTGATTTGGAGAGAAAAGCAGATGGAGTCAAGTAATCAGTACCCAACAGGTTGCATGGTCTAAGATTCTTGGCTTTCTACCTTGTGACTTGCTACACAGTTCCAATGTGGCATTCTGATCACTGGGGTAAGGAGAGGGTGAGGAAATGCTTCCTCCTGCCTGCAGACGGCTCATGACATCAATCTAGGCTGGTCTATGCTCACTGTAGCGTCACTAGACTGGACCTCAAGGGTGGCATGTTGATGATATGGTATCTGGTCCTACTATGGAATGGGTTGGTGGCACGTGGCCGGTTTAGTCTTGTCTTGGATGCCCATTACCGATGTCCTAACAAGTGTTTTCTCTTTCTTCAGTCCCAGTCGGATGATGAGAACCTCCCATGTAACCTGGAAAAAGAGGACCACTCCTCCCCCAGCCCTCCGTCCACCCCATCCGTGTGCTCCCCACCATCTTCCTCATCCTCCTCCGCACCTTCGGACGGGAAGAACATCTGCTCCAGCTGCGGCCTGGAAATCCTTGACAGATACCTGCTCAAGGTACATATGCCGATAGTGATTGAATGAGCATTGTCTAGAGGAACCTCACCCTGCCTAGATCATCCTAAATCTCCATAGGTTAATAGGTTATAGCTGTCCATGGTGTCCAGTGTTGTCTTGCTTGCAGTAGACGTTCTCCATGCAGTGCTTCTCTTCTCTGCCACCATCTTGAAATGTCCCGCACGTTGGCAAAGACATGCCATTGTTGTCTGGTACTTGGTATTTGGGAACTGGTAGAGGCCTGGGGCATGTCGATGGAGAGTGGTGGTGGTGCTGCAGGTCTCTGTCAGGTCCCCAATACCTAAAACCAGCCCAATGCATGGTCATGCTGCTGGGCTTTGATGGGTATTTGGGACCTGGTAGAGAAAGGCAGCATCACTTTTCAGTCACCCTGCACAAGGAGAAAGAACAGCAGTGACCGGTCTTTATTACAGGAGGGGGCGGAGACAAGACCAGTCATCCTGAACAAGGAGAAAGAACAGCAGTGACCGGTCTTTATTACAGGAAGGGGCAGAGATAAGACCAGTCACCCTGCACAAGGAGAGAACAGCAGTGACCGGTCTTTATTACAGGAGGGGGCGGAGACAAGACCAGTCACCCTGCACAATGAGAGAGAGCAGCAGTGACCGGTCTTTATTACAGGAGGGGGGCAGAGACAAGACCAGTCACCCTGCACAAGAAGAGAGAACAGCAGTGAGCGGTCTTTATTACAGGAGGGGGCGGAGACAAGACCAGTCACCCTGCACAAGAAGAGAGAACAGCAGTGAGCGGTCTTTATTACAGGGAGCTCCTGCAGGAGTTGTTTTATCTGAACAAAATACCCAAATGACGCCAAGATCCCAGAAAGCATAGACAGGCCTCTTTTATTTAGATTTTTTTGCCCGGAGTTCAGCCTTAAAGACGTCACGTATAATTAGGAAAGTGCAGCAGAAGAAACACTCGGGGGTGTCATGTGACTGAGGGAATAGAGAATTGACCTTCAACCTGTTCATGGAAAGCTGTCATATCGCGGAGAATACTTTTTTTGTATAAGAGAGAAGTTTATTTTCTTTTTCTGGGAGTAACCCGACATCTATGGTGTTTCTATCCTCATTTTAATTTGATACGTCATCTACATTTCTAGCAATGAGATCATTTTGTGCAACAAAAATCTATAAATTAAAAAAAAAAACTAAACTCTAAGAGTAAAAGATTTTGGGGGGTTCATTTATAAAAGTATCACCCGACGTATGGCTGGGCAGATGCCGCTCGCACAGCAATGATGCCCCTAGATGGTGCTAATGAGTATAGGAATTCCTATACTCATCAGCGCCATCTAGGGGAGATAATAGGAATTCCTATACACATCAGCGCCATCTAGGGGAGATAATAGGAATTCCTATACTCATCAGCGCCATCTAGGGGAGATAATAGGAATTCCTATACTCATCAGCGCCATCTAGGGGAGATAATAGGAATTCCTATACACATCAGCGCTATCTATTGGAGATAATAGGAATTCCTATACTCATCAGCGCCATCTAGGGGAGATAATAGGAATTCCTATACACATCAGCCCCATCTAGGGGAGATAATAGGAATTCCTATACTCATGAGCGCCATCTAGGGGAGATAATAGGAATTTCTATACACATCAGCACCATCTAGGGGAGATTATAGGAATTCCTATACACATCAGCGCCATCTAGGGGAGATAATAGGAATTCATATACACATCAGCGCCATTTGAGTGAGCTAATAGGAATTCCTATACTCATCAGCGCCATCTAGGGGAGCTAATAGGAAATTCCTATACTCATTAGCGCCATCTAGGGGAGCTAATAGATAGTTCCTATACACATCAGTGCCATCTAGGGGAGCTAATAGGAAATCTATAATCTTATACTCACCAGTACCATCTAGGGGCACCAGTGCCATGTTAACAGCATCCATCTTGCTATACACCTAGTGGGACTTTTATACATGAGCCCCTGTATGTTACCTCTGTTAGTACAGGCTAGTAACTCACTGAAGTAGAAAGGTCCAAGGGCATAACTATGGGTCCCACGACTGTTATGGGCCCAGTCAGGGGCATCTCTAGCCTATTCACCACCTGAGGTGGCCAAAG